TATATATATATATATATATATATCTGCAGCCTTATCTATTACTATGCACATATATGTACGTATACAGCCACATAGGGAAGGCGAATACTAAGCATCATCTTCCTTTTCCTAATTATAAATTAATATATTATACATAAAATATTTATTAACTAATTGAATAATGTTAGTATAATAGTTCATGAAATAATTGATTAGATGCAAAATGTTAGCTGCACCCCTCTCTCCCTTCCCTTCGGGTGTATTCGCAGCATAACACCTGCATATACACCTGAATAACCCTTTGTTGTATTTAGATCTGTTCGTTGACCTTTGAATTACAAACAGTTTGTGGCAGGAGCCACTTACTAGATAGCTAGCAAGCTTCTCCATAGCTAGCTGCTGTCTAGCTGCCTAGCTAGCTGGGTGGTCCAGCCATAGTATAGCTTGTAGGTCAGCTGATGCTGGCTGTGGGCTCACCCAGACTTAGCTAGCTAGCTAAGTAGCTAGCTAGCCACGTAGCTTGCCATTCTAACACAGCATGCTCCTCTCATACAGCATGCTGTATGCAGATACAGCCAGCGAAGGCTAGCAGTAATTTGGATGTCAACTGCAGCAGCAATTGCTGCTGCTTTGCTGCTGCAGCTGCCCTGTAAATACGAAATTCCCTCCTGCATCAACCAGCACCCTGCTGTTGCTGCTGCTGCTGCTATGCAGCAGCATTTCAATCCAGACGTGCAAAGAAATGCGATGCAGCAGTTCAATAGTCTCTAGTATTCGATATAAAAGAGACTCTTAGGTGCATGTACACCTGAGTAGAGGCTGTTTTGGGTGTACTATGCATGCAAACAAGTTCAGGTATTATATATACATCACTACCTCACGTTCCTCCCTGATTGCTGCTGGCTAGTTGCCTAGCTGAGTAGCGGTGCGATCGTTTATATGCGTGGTTAGCTAGCTAGCTTGTTATCAGCTAGCTAGCTGCTAGAGGCCTTGCTTGAGGCCGCTGCTTTCCTCTTTGCCTCCGTGAAGGCCTCTATGGCTTTCTTCAGCTCTGGCTGCGGCACCAACTGATCCCTCGTCAAGGGGGCTCTGCAAGACAGCACAGAGTAGACCAATTATTTATAATAAGCAATAAGAAAACGTTAGAAATAATAATACAATTATTAATTAAAAAATAATAAACGACAAAAGGCAAGGCCTGGAGGGCAGCAGCATGACGGAGCTGCAACAACAGCAGTAATCCAGCAGCAATACGCAGCAGCAGCAGCAGCATGCAGCATCCACTTGCAGCAGCAACAGTAGGAGCATCAACAGGTAGCAACAACATCAACAACAACATAGCAACATGTAGCATCAACAGGTAGCACCCAGCAGCAGCAGCGCCACCACCACCACCACCACCACCACCACGAGAAGCGAATTGCATACCTGTTGAATGGGTCGGAGGGCTCGGACATGAGGTGACGTTCGATGTTGCGTCTGTCGACGACAACTTTGCTAGACGGCAGCATAACCGGATCGACCATCAGATCGGCCATAATTGGATCCAAGAACTCAGGCTGCATACAGCAGCAGCAGCAGCAGCAGCAGCAGCAGCAGAAACGGGTTCAGCAGCAAAAGCTCCACGGAAGCGAAATTGGAGAAATAAAAGAGAGAAAAGGAGCAATTATATGCAAATATAAACAAATATAAATATAACATACAAACAAATACAAACAAACAAATACGCCCAAAGATATTTACCACCCCACCCTCAGCAGGTAGTGCAACACACTTAAACCAGACCCAGCAGCAACAGTAGCGCATGCATACACCAGCCCCGCCTCCCCCACCAACACAAACATAACCAGAACATAAGATGCAGCAGCAGCAGCAAGTACCGGAACGTCATCAAGGTCGATCTCCTTTTCTGCCTCTTCCATCTCTGCCAATCTCTTGACTAGCGAATGGAATTCTTCCAAGAGCGTAGAAGGCATCAAACCCTCACGACGAGCTATGCGGCACTGCAGCAGCAGCAGCAGCAGCAGCAGCAATATAGTTTGGGGCCAAAAGAAGTGTCGCAGACGTGGCAATGAACCGCATGCATCTCCAATTGCCATTCTTATTCCTGCAGACGCTTGCGTCCCTTCTGCTCCTGCTGCTGTTGCTAATGCTTTTGCTGCTGCTAGTGCTGCTGCTGCAACAACCACAGGCTTACTGCTTTGGCGATGTTCGCATGCTTGTAATACCTCCCGTCCCTCAATATTTCTGTGATGATGGCTTCCCCATCGGTCTTGTCAGCTTGTACTGCAGGCAAAGCAGAAGCGCAGCAGCAGCAGCAGCAATAGCATAGAGTACTCCATGTGCACACCCCTACAGATCTCGACTGGGGAGTGGAAAATGGCAGCTGCGCTGCAAACCGTAAACCCCAGCTAGCAACAGAACCGCGACTCCCGATAAGCCCTAAGCCCTAAGCCCTAAGCCCTAAACCCTAGACCCTTAATCCTCGCAGCTGATGGTGTGGTGGGCGCACAGAGGTAAACGAAGGCCTCAAGGACAGTAGAAAGCCAATCTTTAGGTCTAAAGCTGTATGTCTCCATCGAATTCACCTGCACGCACCGCCACAGAAGCTTAGGGTTTAGGGTTTAGGGTTTGGAGATAACGGGGTAGGGGTTAGTGTGTTGGCTGCTGCTATAATGCCATAATATGCCTGCACCTGCTTCGCTGATGGTTGTTGGATTGCTCGGCGATCCAGCTGGCTGACGAGTGACTGGTTGGCTAGCTAGCTATTTGCTTGGCAAGCTGGTTAGCTAGTTATTCAGCTAGCTGTGCTGTCGTGTATTCCTAGGATATACTTTGAGTTGGAGGCAGCGCGGGCCGACAAGATGGTCTAGGCAGCAGTCAAGGGTAGTGATGGCCTGTGGCAGCACGCTGCTGCTGCTGCTAATAACAGAGCCACAATGTCTTGTTAGTAACGTAAATAGGCTGCATGCACTTTGGCCAAGGGAGCACAAATCTCTCGCCGTCCCCTGAAGACGATTCCAAGGCTCCCGTTCTAAGGGCGAACGGCCTTCTAAGGAATTCGCCACTGCATACATAAGAACACGCATATATATATATATATATATATATATATATA